GGCTGCGGCCCCTGGGACATGCGGGAGCGGCTGGGCACTGGCGGCTTCGGCAACGTCTGCCTCTACCAGCACCAGGTGCGGCTGGGGGCGGGGCTCAGCGCTGTTGCCATGGAGACCGCTCCTGCCCCCCACTCCAGCCCCCCCTCCCCGCGCAGTGGTCCAGTGGGTGGGTGCTGGACCCAGGGGTGCTAGTTGTGGATGCAAGCGGCTGGTTTGCTAATTAGTTTGGCTTTTGTGCCGCTGTCCTGAAAAAGGCCCCGAGTGGCTACACGGTGAAAGGGGCAAAATGAAACGGACCCCAGCGGTGACCCCCTTCCCTCCCGGTGGCCTGCCCAGTCACCCCCAGCTGTTGTGTTGCAGGAGTCTGGTGAGAAGGTGGCGATTAAATCCTGTCGTCTGGAGCTCAGTGTGAAAAACAAGGACCGGTGGTGCCATGAAATTCAGATCATGAAGAAGTAAGTGCCTCTGCTTCCTATTGCCCTTCCAATCCAGGGCGTGTGGCTCGGGCTCCAGTGGGTCATAAGCAATCTTAACGCGTGAGGTGGGTGATCAGCCTGTTTGCAGTGGCATGTTGTAGCCAGAGAAGCACTTGGAGAACAGCTGTGATAGAAATGCAAAGTGCTCCACCTCGGCGGGGGCCAGAGGGGGGATGGACCACATAACACTTATAGGCTCAGCAGTGCTACGCTCGCTAGCACCTGACTAAAAGACTTGGGGGTCATGACTGACCACAAGGTGAATATGAGCCACCAACGTGATACTGCAGCTGGCAAAGCAAACAAAACCCTGGCTTGCGTCTACTGACGCATCTCGAGCAAGACCCAGGATGTCATTCTCCTGCTGTACTTGGCCTTGGTGAGGCCGCAGCTGGAGTACTGCATCCAGTTCTGGGCACCACAATTCAGGAAGGACGTGGAGAAGTTTGAAAGAGTCCAGAGAGCTACGCGCATGATCAGAGGGCAAGAGAACAGGCCTTATGAAGAGAGGCTGCGAGCTATGGGACTGTTCAGCCTGGAGAAGCACAGGCTCAAGGATGACTTGGTGGCTGCCTATAAGTACATCAGGGATGTGCATTGGGAACTGGGGGAACGCCTGTTCACCAGAGCACCCCAGGGGATGACAAGGTCCAACAGTCACAAACTCCTGCAAGACCGTTTTAGGTTGGACATAAGGCAAAACTTCTTTACTGTCCAAGCCCCAAGGTCTGGAACAGGCTCCCCCCAGAAGTGGTGCAAGCACCTACTCTGGACACTTTCATGAAACATTTGGATGCTTATCTTGCTGGGATCCTTTGACCCTAGCTGACTTCCTGCCCCTTGGGCAGGGGGCTGGACCGGATGATCTTACAAGGTTCCTTCCAGCCCTAATGTGTATGAAATCTACAGTGGCAGTTCCAGCAGGAAGCTCAGCAGTAGGTTCTGCTTCAGCTGATCTGCACCATAGGATTCCCAGGCTGCTGTGATTTTCTACCTCCCTTTGGGTAGGGGAGAATTCATTACAAAAATTAAGCCAGATAACATTGACTCTGTTCCCTGCCTTCCTAGCAAATGCTTCTTGGTGGCCCTGCGAGCATGGTTGGGGCAGCCTGAAGTTTGATAGGAGAATTCTGGGCTGCATACAGATGTGACCTTGGCATAAGACTATACAGTGCTTAAAGTAGCTCCCTTGAACTGTGAGGGGTTGGTGGGGAAAGGATGTCATTTCTGGTCTAGATAGGGTTTGCCTCAGACTCCACTTCCCGAAGTTTTCTATTTTGACTGGTTAAAGCTGCATGTTTGGCCCACAGAGAAAATCATTGAGGTGCTGGAGCAGTTTTGTCACGTTAGCAGCAGTATCCAAAGAACAAGTCTGTTGCTGCCTTATAACAATCCATCTTCTTGCACTGAACTTCCTGGAAGCAGAAATGGACTGTGGGACTTTGGAGAGACATTTGACACGGAAATCTCTTCGAGAGGGAGGGCAGGGGTGACTTGGACTAATTGAGGGAGTGGTGAAAAGATATGAGGTTCCCCTGGGTAGTGTCCCACAAGAATGCAGGTTCTGGTTATAGTTCTCAGGAAAGTCAAGGGCAGAGACAGAAGACTTGTGCCACCCTTGCCACAGCTTGGGTGGTCCTAGCTAAAAGAAAAGGCAGGATTTCTTGCTGGGACTTGGAAGTTCCCTCATTTTTATCTTCTGTGGGTAGGCAGGCTATAGATAACTTCTTTATGGAGGCCAGGCTAGCACTAAAGGCTGAGAGAGGGATTAAAGTCCATGAAGAAGAAGGGGTAGAAGAGGAAGGGATGAAAGGAACTAGGGATTAGAGAGGAGAGACAGGGGATGTGGGGGAGATGGGGAAGGAAGAGAGAGGAAACATTAAAAATGGATACAGAGTTAATAGCTTTTTGAAAGAACTAGCTGGGAAAAGGTTAAAAAAGGTAGGAAAACCTGTCTGAGGTGCTATTGAGGTGGAAAGATGGAATGCATGAGTGTGAAACCAGCTTCTCTCCTAGGTTTTTATTTCCCATGTAGAAGTAAAGCTAAAATAAACTACCGAGAGAGTTTACTTTATGCAGTCTTTTTAGTCACTTGATGGATTCTGACCTGGCTGTCTGTACTTCAACTGGAAATGATCTCAGTGTGCCCAAGTTTTGTTCCTTCTTTTTAGTTTTGGAAAATGGTTGGGTGTTTCACATGCCCCTGATGTAAACATTTGCTTTCCCAATCTACAGACTTGAACAGCAGAGTGTCTGAGTGCATCACAAACATCCTTGAAGTATCCCTGGGCTGGAGGAAAGAGTTATTTCCACTTGACAGGGGCAGAAATTGTGGCACAGAGTTCAGTCCCTTAACTGTTAGACCAGAAGTGGGCAATTATTTCAGGCAGAGGGCCGCTTACTGAGTTTTGGCAAGGCATTAGGGGCCATATGACAGGCAGCCAGGGGCAGATAAATATTAACTTTTAAATTTTTTTACGCGCTCCACAGGCTGGATAGAATGGCCTGGCAGGCTGCATCCAGCCCACGAGCTGCAGTTTGCTCACCCCTGTATTAGACCATCCTTTTAGTCATCTCTGGTCTGCCTGCTGTTAGAGGGTATGAGCTTTGTTTTGTACACTTGGGTACTAATAATTACATGTCAGAGATTATATCTTAACCATTAAGTGCTTGAGGAAGAGAAATCTTACTGTGCCCATGTTTGAAATGGCTAATTGATGCTTTTGCCTTCTTGAACTTCTACAAAAATATCAGGGTCAAGATTTTCATCATGTTTTCCATGTGCCTAGGTTAAACCATCCCAATATAGTAAAAGCCTGTGAAGTTCCTGAGGAGATGAACTTCCTAGTTAATGATGTCCCTCTTCTTGCAATGGAGTACTGTTCAGGAGGTGATCTCAGGAAGGTAATGCCTGCTTGTTTAGAATTATAGCTGAATGAGTGAGTTAAGTGTGTCTATAATCTTGAGCACCCATGGGCCTGACTAGATTGGGTTTTTTGCACTAATGTAACTGTCTAAATACACTTACGCAAAACACAAACCAAAACAAACCAACCAGTGTTGGGCTTGCACCAGGGTACTTTATGGTGAGGGCTAACACAAGTGCATTCTACATTGCAACAACATGTCTACATTGGGATTTGCACTAAGGCAGCTGTATCAGTGCTGCACAAAACATGCAAATTCTTCTATTCTATACTCAGTTCGGAGTTAATGTCCAGTGTGTATGACAGATCTGTAGTAGGGAAGTTCTTCTGGAGTATGTACAAGTTTGATGTATTGTCAACTGATGTGTTCCTTCTAGATTCTTTTATAGCTCTATTGTTAAACAGTCTGGCTTCCTTGGGCTGACAAAGTGACTGATTGCTGATATTGTGTGTTGAGTTAGGAAAGTGTTTAAAAACAGAGTACGGGTAATCTGGGAAGACAGGAGACAGACACTGGAAGAAATTCCTTAATGGTATACTTGCAGAAACCTTTCAGTAGCCGAACAGATGGCAGCAATATGAGCAAATACATTTTTGTTCACACTCTTTCATTACAGTGGGGAATTGTCAAGGACAGTTGTTCATATGTGGACTAGTGAGTAAAGGAGGACTGTTTTAAAATCTGACTTTTATCTAAACTAATTATGGAGGGCTCTTTATGGAACAAAAATGGTAGGTGGTTCAAACAGAAGACATGATGAAGAGATGTGCCACAGGGGATGACAGCTTGAGGACCGGTGGACTTCCCTAGGGAAAAAGAATAAAGTGGAAGCTAGATGGAGCTGAAGGAAAGGAACTCCAGGGAGCAGTTTCACGAGCCAATTGAGGATTTGGGGAAGAAAGCAAACTGAGTATTAATTTGGGGCTGAAATGGGGTTGAGTATTAAAGTTTTCTCTTTAAAATGGGGAGATCAGAACTTGTTGTCTTGGAAAGGATTAAGCACTTAGAGAAGAAGGTGATTGGAAACAGCCAGCATGGATTCACCAAGGGCAAGTCATGCCTGACCAACCAGATTGGCTTCTATGATGAAATGACTGGCTCTGGATGCAGGAAGAGCAGTGGACATAATATACCTTGACTTTAGCAAGGCTTTTGAGACAGTCTCCCAAAAGATTCTTGCAAGCAAGCTAAAGAAGTACGGGTTGGATGAATGGGTAAGGTAGGTAGAAAACTGGCTTGATGGTTGAGCTCAGAAGGTAGTAATCAATGGCTCAATGTCTAGCTGGCAGCCAGTATCAAGTGGAGTGCCCCAGGGGTTGGTCCTGGGCACTGGTTTTGGTTAATATCCTCATCAGTGACCTGGAAAGTGCAATGGAGTGCACCCTCAGCAAGTTTTCAGATGACACCAAGCTGTGGGGAGTAGTAGATACACTGAAGGGTAGGGCTAGGATTTAGAGATAGCTAGACAAATTTGAGGATTGGACTAAAAGAAATCCCATGAAGTAGAATAAGGACAAGTGCAAAGTCCTATACTTAAGAGAGAATAATCCCATGTACCAGTACAAGCTGTGGACCAACTGGCTAAGCAGCAGCTTTGCAGTGGGGGTTACAGTGGACAGTAAGCTGAATACGAGCCAACAGTGTGCTCTCGTTGCAGAGAAGGCTAACAGCATATTGGGCTGCATTAGTACGAGTGTTGCCAGCTGATTGAGGGAAGTGATGGTTCTTCTCTGTTTGCTAGTGGTGAGGCCACCTCTGGAGTACTGTGTCCAGTTTAAGGCCCCCCACTACTGGATGAGGACAAATTGGAGAGGGTCCATTGGAGGGCAGTGAAAATGGTTAGGGGGCTGGGGCACATGACTTATGAGGATACGCTGAAGAAACTGGGCCTATTTAGTCTGGAGAAGAGAAAACTAAGGGGGGATTTAATGGCAGCCTTCAACTACCTGATGGGTGGTTCCACAGAGAATGGAACTAGACCAGGGGTGGGCAAAATGAGGCCCGCTGGGCCATTCTATCTAATTACGTGCCCCTGAACTAGACTGTTCTCAGTGGTGGCAAGTGACAGGACAAGGAGCAATTGTGTGAAGTTGCAGCAAGGGTAGTTTAGGTTAGGTATTAGGAAAAAAACTTTTTCATGAGGGTAGTAAAGCATTGGAACAGGTTACCCAGAGAAGTTATCCTTGGAGGCTTTTAAGACTTGGCTAGGCAAAGCCCTGGCTGGGATGATCTTGTTGGGGATGGTCCTGCTTTGAGCAGGGGTTTGGACTAGATGATCTCCTGCAATCCCTTCCAACCCTAATTGTCTATGATTCTGTGAAAGAGAAGGAAGCTGGTTAAAGGGGTAGGGAAAGAAGAGTGAAGGAGAGAGGAGTAAGGCGGTTGAGAGAAGGTGGTGAGAATGTGGGTCACTGGCAAAAGAGGTGGGATTGCTAGAGAATCTGCAGGAAGTCTTAGTGATAAGGAGATCACAGAAGGTGCTGTTGATTGGGTGTTTTGAAGAAATCTTGAGGGTAGGATATAGAGAGGGAGCTGAAGTGGAGAAAAGTTGTCTTGGCTTCTGTGTGGAATTAATAGAGGGTGAAGAGCTATAGCTGTTTAGCTCAAAGGACAATCTGTTTCCAGTGCAGAAAGTCAGCAGGGTTGAAGGACGGACTTCTGTTGGAGGTGTGACAGCAGTGGGGAACATGAAAATAGAAGTTGTGATATTGAACTGGAAGTTTCTGAAGAATCTGATAGTAAGATGCTGGGATGAGCTGGTAGGAAGTGCTGAACAGCCATGGTAGTGGTAGAAAGGTCAGAGAACAAGATTGCATGCATGAGAGATCTAATCCAGGCAGGTAGGTCAGAGGAGGAAGTGGGCGGGTAGCTTGGGGCTATTTGGAGCATCAGTGTGAAAGGTGAAGTAAACAAAAACAATTGGGTGGAATCAGATGGGTCAGATTATAGAAGTGGGGCTCAAGAGGCAGTATTAGCAGCTCAGGTCTTAGAGATGGAGCTGCTGAGTGTGGAAGTAGCTTTAATTGAGGTGGATCTGGCATTTTAGTGGTAGCAGGAGGGAAAGGAGGACATGGATGAGTCAGGGGTGGGGTTGGGCATTTCTAACAATGAGGATGCCAGAAGAAGGAATGTGGAGTAAGCAAGATGGAGCAAGGGCAGAAAGAAGAGGTGAATGGGGATAGGGGAGTTTGTTGGGGCATAGGGTGAAAGAATAGAGGGTGAGAAATACAGAGCTGAAGTCACATGTGTAAAAAGATAGCAAAAAAGTGAAGGGACAGAGGACGTCAGTCTGATTAGATAGTTGAGTGCTCAGCTTTCAAAAGATGATTGATGAGATGGGACAGTGAAGAATGAGTAGTTACATACCAAGTAACTGTCCAGTGCTGAAGAGTGAGTAAACAGTGGGCAGTAGTCAGCCAGCCCTCTCTGTGACCGAGACCTCTTAGTGGTGGAGAGGCTTGCGTGTACCAGTGATCCTCAGAACTGTCGCCCAGTCTCATGCTCCTGGCAGGGTCACCCATGGCAAACAGGCCTGAGGAAAGGTTCCAGACAGACTACTGTCCAACCCCAACACAAGATCAGGCACAAGATGATGTCAGGATCTCAGTGGCTGTAAAGATGGGGGAAGGCTGCAGCAAGATGGAGGTCTCCTGTCATCTAGGATTCTACCTTGTCACCAGGCCCATATCTCCACCTTGTTGATACCATGTGGTTGTTGTTTCTGAGCACCAACTTCCTTGGATTAAATAAAGTCACACGCAAGCTATTACCACAGGAAACAACACACTCTTCTGTACCACAGCAGCTCAGCCATCTCGGGGAATGCTGCATTAATGTTTAGCCTGCTGGGAGTGATTTGGAGAGAAACAGTTAGTACGACCAAAATACTGAATGACTGTGTGGCAGATTTCCAGCTGGCAGAGAGTGAAGTTTGGGCATAGCTGATCTGAAGAACAGCAACCAGCAGGTTACTTGGGGCTGGGCCAGTATAGGCCAGGCAGTTGATAGAGATGAGAATCTCTTTTTTATGTCCTTCAGGCACCACTCTGGCTCGTGGCAAGTTTTTTTCCTCTGCTGTTTTTCCTTTGCGTTGCTCAGGTGGTGCAAATAGAATGGAGACTAACTACTAGATCTCAGCCAAAGGCATGCATGGTGCACTGTCTTCAAGAGATACAGACCCCACATCACCGGTTCTTATGTCTTCTTCCCCAGAGCTCCAGGTGTTGCCAGGATTCACTGCATTTCCCAGAGGGTGAATGGGTCCATTAAGGTCCATAGTGAGCGTGTGCAGGTTAAAGCAGCAGTCACCCTGAGTCAGATGGAGAATCTGGTGGCTTTAACCAGTCTCTTGATGGCTCCCACTCCCTGGGTATCCCTTACACTGGAGAAAGCAGATAATATGGTCCTGCTTTCTATCCCTATGGCAGGCTGCTGCTAGGTGTTGTGCTCCTGCTGATGTGTAGCTTTTTGGGTATGCTCATAGTTTCATAGATGTTAAGGGCTGGAAGGGACCTTGCAGCCCCCCTGCACTTAGGCAGGAAAGACTATTTTTGTCCTTTGGCCTCTTAGCAGTGGTTTCCTGTTTTGCACAGTTGTTCTTCCAAGTAGCAAGCTTGTACCAAAAACTAAGGCTAGTCCTGAATCTTATTTCATTTTATATTATTTAAATTTGTTGAGGTGGTGGACTAAAATGCAGAATCTGGGAGCCACATGCTCCTCATTATGACTTCCAGTTAATTTGACAGGCTCTGACTGCCCACATTGATGCTATACACATCACTGATAACAGTCCCTCTCTTGAAGTCTTCTTTCCAAACTACTGTCCTCTTAAACTCGTAAACACCACTTTTCTTTCCATCCTTTTATCACTTTTTCATTGAATCATCTTTAGCTCACTTGAATTAAGCCTGAGCTTAATTGTTTTTGGGTGGTGGTGCTTGAGATGGAGGAGGCTGTTCTTGACTATTTCTTCATTGCAAACTAAGATTGTATTTTTCTTTTCCATAGTTGCTAAACAAACCAGAAAATTGCTGTGGACTTAAAGAGAGTCAGATTCTTTCACTGCTTAGCGACATTGGTATGTAATCTGTGACTTTACTTACTTTTGCATGTTTGCCGTACAGCTCTGTTTTGTTGTCCCAGCCAATCCTTGAGAAAGGGCTAACAAATAAAGGTTCCAAAGCAGACATGTTTTCATAACATTATAAAGAAGTTTTGTTCCACTATGATGATGATTCGTGGTCATTGACAAAGAACATGTTCATCTCCATCTTTCAGAAACTAACAAATTTGCATTGCACATGTGTTATCATTTGCCCTGTGATGTTTTAAAGATTGTTCTTTAAAGTGTGTGGTCTGTCATGTCAGGTTTCAGTAGATATACTTTACTGTTAGAACAGGATTTAGAGTACATGATCAATTGCAGGGGTCAGCAAATTATGGCCCGCCAACTGATTCTGTCTCACTCTCAAAGCCAGGACTTTGGCAGTAATTTGGCAGTTGGAGGAGCAGTAGCTGGGTTGGAAGTGTGACAGTGGCCCATCTTTGGAACAAGCTGGGCTAATTAGGCCCACCACTCCTAAAAGGTTGCTGACCTCTGGTCTAGATACTTTATTCATCTCTCCTTGAGTGTACAGAGTAAGCCAATTCTACAGAAAGTTCTGCTTATTTTTGCAGGAGAACCAAACCAATCTTCTACTTACATATTCATTGATGGTGGCTAAACTGCACGTCAGTCAGACTAGCATAGTTGTTACACCTGGATGGCAACCAAGCAGTTAGAATCAATATTAGAAATGCCATGTCTCGTTGTGACTTCTGAGGTCTCACAAAAACACTGTGCATGTGTTAACTGTCTTTTAAGCTTCTTATATGAAGGTTAAGGTAATGTGTAATAAACAGTTTGCATTTTAAGCTTGACTTTGTGGGGTGCGGGGCTGGGTCTTCTTGCCTGTATGCCTGTTGGGTTTGTTGTTGTTGTTTTTTAACAAAAAAACTAAAATCCACTCACAGGCACTACCTTTTCACCTGGAAGTGTTGATCTCAGCTGAAGGAGAATTTTATTTTGGCCAGCATGAAGTAAAATTGTCAGACATTTTTAGGTACAAAAGAAAAACCTTGTTCAAGATCTTACTAGAGCTGTTCCTACCATTTTTCTTCATTTGTGACTCAAGTCTGATGTTTGCTAGAAACACCTGAAGGCCTCTTTTAGGTTTCAGTGGTTCCATACCTTTTTTATGACTCTTGGAAACTCTCAGATGCTTAGTAGCAGTAGGAGGAGGTTAGATCTCCAGTAATGCCAACTGTCCCAAAAACATGCGAGACTTGGGATTTCTAAGTCAAAATAACTCTGACTCATGAACTCCCGATCAAACCCTCAAATCTCTGGATTTTCCCAGCTGGTAAGTCTGTGGAGGAGAAGGGGCAGAGTAAGAGGGAAGGGGTGGAGCGGAGATTGCGGCCCCCATGGTGAGGGAGGAAGTGGGGCTGGGGTGAATGGGGCCCTGGGGAGGTAAGCTGCCCGCTGTGGGCTCAGGGCTCTGCTCCCTGGTGCCTTTGCTCCGGGGTACTCAACACCAGTGTGCTTCCTGCCATTGGGTGCGCAGGGGACGTGCCATGCTGCCAGGGCACCCCATGTCCCCTGCCCACCCTGCAGGCAGCAATGGTATTGCACAGCTCCCAGGGCAAAAGCAGCAGGGTGCAGAGCCCCGAGCTTACAGTGGGCAGCCCACCTCTGCCTCTCAGGGGGGCATGTGCCCCCCATGCCTCCCCCAGGGGCATGCACAGCTGTAGGGATCAGTACCCCCTCCCACACCTCTGGATGACCTGCCCTGGCCCCAAGACCCCATTCATCCCAGCCCTTGCTCCTGTCTTCCTCCCTTACCATGGGGGCCTCAATCTTCCCCCACCACCCCTTCCCTCTCCCCCTGCCCCTTCCCCACCACTTACCAGCTGGGTGGTCTATGTGTCTGCTCCTCACTCCCAAGCCACAGCCTCCCCAGCCCTGCTGCTGCCTCTCACTCCAGGCCCACAGTACCCTGCATCCTGCCAGGGTGTGCTGGTACCCCCCCTCCCCAGGCTTCAAACCCCACACACACCCACAGCTCCTCACACCTTCACAAATAACAACCCCCAGACACACACTTCAAAAATAGCATCTCATGATTTACATGCCAATCTCTTGATTTTTTTTATTTTATTTTATTTTATTTTTTAATTATTTTTATTTTTTTTAAGAGTTCATCTCATGATTTTTGGCAATGTGGGGTTGGCAATATTGGATCTCCCATACAGCAGTCACTTTGTACAGCCTCTGCGGTGGCTGTGAATCTGCTTGCCAAAATGTAGCATGCTACCTAGTTTTGTTGTAGTGACTGTTTGTTATAAAACAAAAAGCAGAGAGGAAACCTTACCACACTGTCCTTCCTGCCCATCAGCAAAAGTGCCTTGCTTGTGTTCCTGCTTTGGGTGCTTAATATCGTCTGAAATGGTTACAGAATTACCAGCCAGCTGCACTGAGACTGCAAGCCATGACAGCACTACCACAAAATTTAGATTTAACTTATTAAAAAGTGGGGGAGGGGTTGCCAATAGGTGGAAAAGAAGCAAGTATACAAGGAGACAGAGTTTGGATCTAAAACAAACAAGACCATATCAGGTCTCAAAAGTTGAAAATCATTGGCCTATCATGTAGAGTTTGCAAGTAGCATAAACCTCAAGGCTCCCTACCCACCTGTTGCACAATTGGGATCACATACATGGCATGGTAGGACAGGGTGTATGATTTTTAAGATCCAAACTGTCTCCTTGTATTCTTGCTTCTTTTCCACCTGTTGGCAAGCTGCATGCCCCCCCACCCCTCCACACACACACTTCCTAATAAGCTAAATCTAATTTTGTGACAGTGCTGCTATGGTTTTCAGTCTCACGGTGCAGCTGGCTGGTAATTCTGTAACCATTTCAGGTGCATTCAGAGTTTGTTATTAAATTGTATATTAAAACAAATTACACAATCTTCCTTTTTGTGCTTTTATGATACCACATATTTGGTATCGTATTTGGTTGTAAAATAGATGGGAATTATGACAGTTGGGTCAGGTTGGAGGCAGCTTGGAAATGTGGGCAAAGTATATTAGCTGGCTGTTCCTGATAAAATGGTCAGGAACAAAATGCTTGTTTTTGGTTGGATTGTGCAGATTTAACTGTCTTAGGGGGTGGTATAATTTAAATTATCCTATTATTACTTATTGCCATGTTGCTTATGATAGTGAAAAAGCACCTGGGTTTAGGATGGAGGAATGGGGTTCTGAGATGGAGCTTGATCACTTTATTCGGTTGCTGTATGGCATGGTGCCTGTGACAGCAGGACGCTGGTGTTGGTAAGTCAGGAGGTCCCTAATAGTTCTGTTTAGGGGTTTTATAGTGGGACACTTGGGTTCACTTATACATCAGCCAGGCCAGAACATGAAAATGAAATGCCCATGCATGATTAAAATGCATTGACTTTCCCAAGCAATAGCAAATGCATCTTAATTTGATAGATTCTTTCTGTCTGCTTTGTAACCTTGTATGATAATAAATCTGTGTTTGATTTAGTGACCTTGTTTAACTGGGTGGTGAGGGGGAGGCAGCTTTATAGGTGGTGGTATTTGGCTTTTAAGCTGTTGTTGCTAATCTGAGCCTGTTACTTCATGAATACACACAAAAGGAAGGAGAACAGAAAATACAGTGGCCGTCTGATAAGGCTTTAGTTAGGTGGAAAGCAAACATCAGCTGAGTAGGTTGAGCTTGAAAATCAATCAGCTGTGGGAGATAAAGGCTGGGTGATGGCCCTGAAACCTCAGGAAGAGCCCTGAACATGGCAGTATTGTGTGGTTCGGTTCCAAAGTAAAGAAATGCCCAAGCAGTAAGAAAGATGACACATCTCTAGGTTCTAGCTTATGATGCTACTAATACTGATCAACAGGGATCCTGATTTTCTCTGATTTATAAAAAATCCCCAATTTTTGGATTAAAAAAAGTAACCCAAAATCCACATTTTTCCATGATTAAAATGAAACACCACCATAGTGAAATTCCACAATTATCAGAGCAACAGGTCAGAATTCTTCTTAAAGACGGAAGGAAGCATGCTTTGAACTAACTGTTGACTGAACAAGGCTGCCCCCACATCAGGCACGTCCCAGTGGGGCTGCACCTTGTAAACTGCTCAACACAGAATGGAGCCTGGAACACTATCGTCATTGTGTTGATCAGCAAGGATCCTGGTTTTCTCTGATAAAAGAAAATCCCCAATTTTCAGATTAAAAATAGTAACCCAAAATCCACATTTTTCTGTGATTAAAGTGAAACGCCACTATAGATTAAAATTTAGAAACACTATAGCGGTGTTTCATTTTAATTACAGAAAAATGGGGATTTTGGGTTTACTTTTTTAAATCTGAAAATTGGGGAATTTTTTTATCAGAGAAAACCAGGATCCCTGCTGATGATCAACATGGTGATGATGGTGTTCCAGGCTCCCTTCTCTGCTGAGCAGTTCACAAGGTGCAGCCCCACTGGGATGTGCCTGATGTGTGGGCAACCTTGTTCAGTCAACAGTTAGTTCAGAGCATGCTTCCTTCCAAAATTAAGAAGGATTCTGACCTGTTGCTCTGATAATTGTGGAACTTCACCAGAAAATTTGGCAAACCCCTGTTTAGTAGTTCTTTTTCATCAAACCACAGTTCACTTCACAATTAAACTTTCTTCTTTTTTTGCTTTCTTTCAGCAGCATTTTGCACAGCATGTTCATATGTTAAAATAAACTTCTGAACTTTCACTTGCTTTGGAATATACTAGTCTGTTCTGAATACAAGGCAACACTTTATTTTAGTCAACCTCACATTTTCAAGTTTTATTTGAGGAAAAATAAACTTTTCCTGGTATATAGAGTGATAACAGTTCAATGCCTTTATTTGTGTTATCACCATTACAAAATCCTACAAGAAAATCAAATAACCAAGGAAAGGACGCAGAGAGTTATTTGCACTAAGGGTACTAAAATAAACTGCACTGAAAAGAAATTCTGACTTCGTATTTTTATTCTATGCAAAAACAATACTGTGAGTACAGAGGTCAATGCTGTGTGCAAGTCAGGTGTGGTTTTATGGCATTTTTGCAAGAAAAGCAAGATAAACTTATAATCAAAACAATACAATATATTGGCCAACAGTATATTGTCAACAACCCATTGAGTTCTGTGAAGTGGTTGTCCCTCGTAAGATCTGATCCCGGCTGACCGCAGATTCAGGAAGACTGTTGTGTGCAGTAAGCATGTGGTCAGCATGTGATGCATAGCTGGTACTGGATAGCTGCCAGGAGAATGATTAGGGAGATTAGAGCTATGTCTGTAGTCTCCTGGCTGTGCCTTTGACTGCTACCGAGAAACAAAGCCTTTCAGCTTGCTGCTCTGTACAGCCTAAGCCTAGCAACTGGGGAGCATAGAAGCCTGCTTTGTCTTAGGAGAGCTGAGGATCAGCAGTGAAGCACATCCTCAGGACTTTTGTAAGCTGTTTATGGTCAGGATATTATAACACAGAGGTGTTAGACACTGACTAGTCTTGGGGTTTTTTGGTTTTTGTTTGTTTTCTTTTTACTATGGGTATTTATCTCTTACATCAAACACTTGATTTTATTCAGGGTCTGGTATCCAGTATTTGCATGAAAACAGAATTATACACAGAGATCTAAAGCCAGAAAACATTGTTCTTCAGGATGAAGGTGGGAAGGTAAGTAAAAAATCTCTGCCAATGAATTGAGTTGATGCACCAGATATCAGGCTTGTGAGCTGCATAGCAACTTTGGCTTGATTTAATTGAAGTTAAAACTGCTAGTGGCTTCTTTTGGCACTGGGTGAGGCTGAAAATGCAACCATGATTTTTATAACAAGTTTTTCTGGTCTCTTAAAATTTCAGATCCCATTTTGCTGGTCCTCAGAGAATTGCCATTTGGTCAATTACTTCAATGAAACATTCTTTTTTTTTCCTATTCAGTAATTCTGACATAGCATGGTATCAACAATATAAATTGCATTGAACTTCGTTTTTACATATGTGTTGGATTTCTTGAGGTGGTGTGTAGAAATAAATTTGTCCTGGTATTCAGTCTGATTCTGATTTCTCAGCGAAAATGCTCTTTTGTTTTGCCTTTTCCCCCTATTGACTTCATTCAAACCTGTTAGTTTTTCAGGACAGTAGTGGATTGTAATATTCAAGTTACGTTATAAACAGCTATGAAATGAATGATTATGGCTAACGTCAGGAATTCACTACCTATGGCCCGTCAACCAAATTCAGCCCACAAAGTGCTGGGATCAAGTCTGCAGTGGCACAGGGGATCCACAGCACTGAGCTCAGCTCAGTGTGTCCCCTCTCTGTAACTAATGCTGTATTGCCAATCTGCCCCACAGTGCCCTTGCCACCCTGCTTGCATACTAGAATGTAAGGCATCACTGTTGCCACCAAATTTAGCCCTTCTCAGTGCCACTAGGGGCAGGGATGGCAGGAGGCGACCTCGGTGCTATGGAGAGGGGTGGTGGGGCAGAGAGCTGGCACACAGTATGACGTGGTTTCAGGTGGTGGCCTGCTGCTCTAAAAGTTACTGACCCCTGGCTTTCATGGATGAACATCAAAGTTCTAGTGCTATGTAGTGGAACAGGTTCATTTGAAATATTTTTGTCAGTTCACTGATTCGTTCTCTGGGTTTTTGTTCCCCCCACCCCTTTTTTAGTGAGATAACATCTGGATGTCCCTCACCAGGCCTGCAACTATGTTTTTTTCTTCTTTTTGCTGATTTTTTCCTTACTGTTGTAATATTTGCTTTGTATTTTTACAGTTTATTCACAAAATAATAGACTTGGGATATGCCAAGGATCTAGATCAAGGAAGTTTATGCACATCATTTGTTGGGACTTTGCAATATTTGGTAAGATTGTTTAAGGGTTTTTTTGGTTTTATGTGTAGAATTTGTTTTGGCAGAAATCAGTTTTGCTTTAGTGTTTTCCTATATAGTTTCTCTATGAAATAGGGAAAAATATGTTCTCTGAAATTTAATTTTAAAGTATATTACTGTTTTTAGGCTCCAGAACTCTTCAAGAATAAGTCCTATACTGTTGCTGTAGACTACTGGAGCTTTGGAACAATGGTATTTGAAAGCATTGCTGGATTTAGACCCTTTCTACACAACCTTGAGCCATTTACATGGTAAGACATTTGCTACAGGAGAGGGTGCCAAGCATTAGGTTTGACAGATCTGCTCTCCCTCTTTTGGACATGGAATGGTATGGATTGAAATGATTGTCATTGTACTACTTTTTTGTTTGGAGATTTTGAAGTGGCTATTGGCATTTTGCCTTTAACTCTACCTTCCTGATATGTGCAGTATTTCCAGAGCTAGAGTGATTTTCTCCTTTGCCAAACTTTGAGTTTCCACAGTAAGGCATGACGTGTTAACTTGTCCATGGTCCAACACACTTGCAACCATTTTGTTATTTTTACAAATCTCATTCAGAGCAAAGACTGAACTGTTTCATAGTTTCATAGTTTCTAGGGTCGGAAGGGACCTGAGCAGATCATCTAGTCTGACCCCCTGCCATGGCAGGAAAGAGTACTGGGGTCAAACGACCCCAGCAAGGTGTTCATCTAACCTCCTCTTAAAAACCCCCAGGGTAGGAGCCTGCACCACTTCTCTTGGAAGTTGGTTCCAGACCCTAGCCGCCCTGAC